AACTCATGGGGCCCCCAGGCAATAGGGGATCATGGGGCCCCTGTGTCCTTGTCCACACTCAAAGCACACCCAAAAAAGCCTATAAAAGGTACCAGAGGCATTTCATGGGCCCGCTACTGACCCCAGGCCCTCAAGCAGTGCCCAAGTGCCAGTCCACCCCTGCTATCTATCCATTCAGTCATATCCAACCCTTGGCGATTGCATGGACCGTCACTCGTAAGCAACGTTTTCCATGAATTCTCTTAGCAATTATTTTACAGGGGAGGTTGCCAGGTCTTTCCCTAACCCCTACCATGCAGGAGATCCCACATGGCCAGGGATGAAACTAGGACAATTTAGACAGGAGCCAATTAACCTACCAGCATGTCTTTGGAGTGTGGGAGGAAACCAGGGTACCCAGAGGAAACCCACACAAACACAGGGAGAACATACAAGGGAGGTGCCATGGTTGGGAATTGAACCCATGACCCAATTACTGCAAGGCAGAAGTGCTAGCCCCTAACCCACTGTGCTGCCCCCATAGGTGATATACTGTATATATATATATCTTTGTGGTTACCAAACTGTAGGAATATTACAATGGATCCAGAAGACAAGGACACGTTTCTCTTTCTTGACAGAATTGCTCTGCTACTGTAAAACAAATGTATATATTTCTCATATGATGTCATATCTGCACAATGTCATCTCACTAATGTTCTTCTTTCCGTTTTGTAAGGTGAAGGGAAATCACTCAGGAGATGACTATTAGAAGGATGTTTAAAACATTTAAAAAATGACTGCATGGTAATGTTTTTGTTAATTTTACTGTCATTTTTTTTTTAAATGTCTCAAAAAAATAAATAAAAAAAGGTGATGTTACTCTTTCTTGTTTTACTTTGAAAGGTGATACAAAAGGGAAGCTGATTTAGAGCACAAGGCGGCAGGCCAAGACAGCCCGCCAGGCCATTTCATGTGGCTCTCCCACCCTTACCGCAGCTACGGCATCCCCTTGTCTCTGTCCTCATCTTGTCTCAGCAGTTGAGAGGAGAGAAGAGGATAGAACTCCTCCAGCAGATCCTGCGCTTCTCCGTGCAGCCACAGAGAGGCTTGACACCAGGGGCGGACTGACCATTTGGAAACTCGGGGCACTGCCTGAGGGCCCGGGTCAGTAGGAGGCCCCATGAGATGCCCCTGGTACCTTTTTTCATAGGCTTTTTTGAGTTTGGCCAAGGACACAGGGGCCCCATGATCCCCTATTGCCCGGGGGCCCCATGAGTTGTCAGTCCGCCCCTGCTTGACACTTACCTGTCCCAAAGTCCAACGATGTACTCACCCGGGCCGTCCCTTCTCCCCTTCTCTCCTCCACAGCGCTGGCATCTCAACCGTGGGCACCCGGCTGTGACAGCTTGAGGCTTCACACCTGGTGCCCACTGCACATGCGTGCTGCACCTCCTGATTGGTCCGGCAGTCTTCTGGGACCTGTGAAAGTTTCCAGGAGACTGCGAGAGGAAGGAAGGAGCCGAACTTCTGGCTCACTTCACCGAGGCAAACTGAGCCAGAAATGGGAGTGGGTAACTGTCAAAACCAGGTACCCGCTCCCCCAAAAGGTGCCAAATATGGCAGTGGAGGGGGAGAGGAGGCAAATAAGTGGAGCTTCCGCTTTTGAGTGGAACTCCGATTTAAGGGCTGTTTGACACCATGGTGCAGAGATGTCAGTTTTTCTGCACATGTTTTGCAAGGGCACAACAAGATCAATTGTTCTCTATGTGCCCTGTATACACTACAACACTAGCATAGAACTACCCCCTTAGGAGTTCCTGACGTTTTGGGTCCCCCTATAGTCCTGCACAGCCAGGCAACACACATTTCCACATTAACTTGCATCCAGGAGACAGTAACCAGTCCTTGAGCTTTGTTTTGAAGTTTTATTATGGGGATCTGAACTGGGATAGGGTTAGGGGTGTACAGGATGCCCAATGGAACTGTGAAACCGAGGACAGCTTCCTAGAACTATATACAAAGTTTTCACAGCAAACATCCTCTCCTTGGAGAGCTAACCAGTGTCTCTGGTTGTACCACCCCAGACCCTAGGTTCTTCTAATCCAGCTGATCTGGGTCAATTCCCGAGCAGGGGATCCAGTGCCTGTCGCTTTAAGAGAAGTCCAGGTTAGTTGCTAATCAGGTTTCCCTCCAGAGTGCTCCTCCCCGTATCTGGTCCAGGGGGTGCAGGCCTACTCACTCAGTCTTTCTCCTGTGTTGCTGGTGGGTTGGTGGCTGCTGCCAGGCCTTCTAGCTGGGGTGCTCCTTTCCTGACACAGGTGGTCCCCTCTCAGGGGGCTGGTGAAGTCCCAAGCTTTCCTACCTCCAAGCTTTCTGCCTGGAGGTGAGCCCCTTTCCATCTGGGCCCCCTCCCAGGCTCCTGCTTTCTAGCCTCACCTCCTCATCTTCCACCCAAACTCTCCTGCTGCTGAGCAGGCTCAGTTACTCTTAAAGGCTGTCCTGGCCCGTTGCCAAGCCTCCTGTTGGGGAATGGCCAGGATCCTCTAAAAGTATAGACTAGCCACTTCTCACCTGTGCCCACTGCTTCTAGATCTTTCTCCAAAGTTCTAGAGCAGCGGGAAGTCCCAGAGAGCTGGTCTGCAGAGCCTCTCAGCTCTGACTACAATTTGACCCACCTGGCTATCACACCCAGGCTGCTACTCAGCCCTCCTCACAAGCAATTAGAGCTAGAGCTCCCCCTAGATGACTAGGAGAGTGCTACAGTAGTATCACATGCAGATTCTTTGTGTGTAGGTACAAGGCTTGGTTCACATCTGTGCGGGTGGTGCCGCTGCGGGACCCGCACAAATACCTGCAGCCGCTCCACCCACACAGAGGAATGCAGGGCCTGCCCGCACTGGAAATCGCAACCATAGTGGGAACTTCGATTCCCGTGTGGGCTGCGATTTCTGAAGAAGTGCAGGGACTTGCTCCCTGCTTGTCCCGGGGCACAGGAGCAGGGGCGGACTGACCATTTGGAAACTCGAGCACTGCCCGAGGGCCCGGGGTCAGTAGGGGGCCCCATGAGATGCCCCTGGTACCTTTTTCATAGGCTTTTTTGAGTTTGGGCAAGGACACAGGGGCCCCATGATCCCCTATTGCCCGGGGGCCCCATGAGTTGTCAGTCCGCCCCTGCACAGGAGTCCATTCAACTGAATGCTCGTGCAAAATGTGGCCCCTACATACGTGGACCTGGCCTAAAGCTCATTTAAACACGCATGAAAATAGATCTCTCTGCAAGTAAAATCAGTTTCCATCAGTTTTTCTGCACATATGGTGTGAACGAGGCCTCAAACTGGGGACAGGCTTCTCTCCCTCTGTACCATTTCTTCCTTTTTTAGTCTAGTTATCTGGATTTATAACATTTCTACTGCAAGCATATTTCCGAAAGAAAAAAATAATCTGGAAAACTGGTACTTTCTGAGTCACATAGTGAAGCTTCTCAGCCTTGCCATTTATATCATGAGCACATAAACACTTAGCTACTGAAGTGGTAAATTAAAGCTATTTTAGAATGAAAAACAAATAAATCGGTTTACCGCGGAATGATAAGGACTTCTTAGTAAAATCTTTCCTAAATTGAAAAACAGCCAAACTAAAGCATTTTACTACATCTACAAATAGCCTTAGCAGTAAAATGCAAAGCGAAGGATATAAAGGGAACAAAAGGAGCTATTAATACCGTTTGCTGATGTAAGCTGCACTCAGGTACTCCGCTGACCTCCTGCCCAGTAGACCAATTGAAATGTTCAACCGTCATCCTCTTTTCTTGCTAAGACAGCTGATGCTGTAAAACAGTCCAGTTACGACATGACAGTACAAGAAAGGTTATGTCAGGGTATAAGAAGATTTCCATGTTTATAATAATTCCTTAAAGTCTTACTAAACCGCGGATGGTCGGACCCTGCATTCAATATATCAGGTCTCCCAGGACCCTGCATTCAATATATCAGGTCTCCCAGGACCCTGCATTCAATATATCAGGTCTCCCAGGACCCTGCATTCAATATATCAGGTCTCCCCAGACCCTGCATTCACTATATCCGCTCTCCCCAGACCCCCCATTCACTATATCCGCTCTCCCCAGACCCCCCATTCACTATATCCGGTCTCCCTGGACCCTGCATTCACTATATCCGCTCTCCCCAGACCTGGTATTCAATATATCAGGTCTCCCAGGACCCTGCATTCACTATATCCGCTCTCCCCGGACCCTGCATTCAATATATCAGGTCTCCCTGGACCCTGCATTCACTATATCTGCTCTCCCCGGACCCTGCATTCAATATATCAGGTCTCCCCAGACCCTGCATTCACTATATCCGGTCTCCCCAGACCCTGCATTCACTATATCCGCTCTCCCGGACCCTGCATTCAATATATCAGGTCTCCCAGGACCCTGCATTCACTATATCTGGTCTCCCCAGACCCTGCATTCACTATATCTGGTCTCCCCAGACCCTGCATTCACTATATCCCCTCTCCCCGGACCCTGCATTCACTATATCTGCTTTCCCTGGACCCTGCATTCACTATATCTGCTCTCCCCGGACCCCGTATTCACTATATCTTGGCTCCCCGAACCCTGCATTCACTATATCTGGTCCCCCTGGACCCTGCATTCACTATATCTGGTCTCCCAGGACCCTGCATTCACTATATCTGCTCTCCCCGGACACCGCATTCACTATATCCGCTCTCCCCGGACCACTATATCCGGACCCGGACCCTGCATTCACTATATCTGCTCTCCCCGGACCCTGCATTCACTATATCTGGCTCCCCGGACCCTGCATTCACTATATCCGGTCCCCCGGACCCTGCATTCACTATATCCGCTCTCCCCGGACCCTGCATTCACTATATCTGCTCTCCCCGGACCCTGCATTTAACTATATCCACTCTCCCCGGACCCCGCATTCACTATATCCGCTCTCCCCGGACCCTGCATTCACTATATCCGCTCTCCCCGGACCCCGCATTCACTATATCCGCTCTCCCCGGACCCTGCATTCACTATATCTGGTCTCCCCGGACCCTGCATTCACTATATCTGGTCTCCCCGGACCCTGCATTCACTATATCTGGTCTCCCCGGACCCTGCATTCACTATATCCGCTCTCCCCGGACCCTGCATTCACTATATCTGGTCCCCGGACCCTGCATTCACTATATCTGGTCTCCCCCCGGACCCTGCATTCACTATATCTGGTCTCCCCAGACCCTGCATTCACTATATCAGCTCTCCCCGGACCCTGCATTCACTATATCCGCTCTCCCCGGACCCTGCATTCACTATACTGGTCTCCCCAGACCCTGCATTCACTATATCTGGTCTCCCAGGACCCTGCATTCACTATATCCGGTCTCCCCGGACCCTGCATTCACTATATCTGGTCTCCCCAGGACCCTGCATTCACTATATCTGATCTCCCCGGACCCTGCATTCACTATATCCACTCTCCCTGGACCCTGCATTCACTATATCCGGTCTCCCCGGACCCTGCATTCACTATATCCGGTCTCCCTGGACCCTGCATTCACTATATCTGGTCTCCCCGGACCCTGCATTCACTATATCCGGTCTCCCCGGACCCCGCATTCACTATATCCGGTCTCCCCGGACCCTGCATTCACTATATCTGGTCTCCCGGGACCCTGCATTCACTATATCTGGTCTCCCCGGACCCTGCATTCACTATATCCGGTCTCCCCGGACCCCGCATTCACTATATCCGGTCTCCCCGGACCCCGCATTCACTATATCTGGTCTCCTCGGACCCTGCATTCACTATATCTGGTCTCCTCGGACCCTGCATTCACTATATCCGGTCTCCCCGGACCCTGTATTCATTATATCTGGTCTCCCCGGACCCTGCATTCCCTATATCTGGTCTCCCACAGTACACACAACATGGAAATGCAATTATTTTAGTAAATATAAACTGCTAAATACCTTTTCTCAATAGCAGTAAATAGCAGTCTTGTGGCTTGCAGCAAAGCACTGGTTAAAGCTTGTAGAAGGACTTTTCATTCTCCCCTGATTGTCCTATAAGGCTGCATAACCCCTGACCTTCTGTCTGGACAGCGCTGATTGGCCCTGTGCTGTTCACATGCACTCTCCCAAGAAAAGAAAAAAACCTCTCTATCAATTCACACCAAACTGAGCATGTGCAGAGTGACTCCTAGAGCTCTGCGCTATCAGCAGATGGATTGGGGACAGTCGAAGAAGGGGAGGATCAGTTGTCCCCCCCCCATCCCGTAGTCTTCTGGGACACGTGACAGGGCCCAAAAGACTACGAGACCATGTTCTTCCTGTGCCTGTGTGGGTTTCCTCTGGGTACTCCGGTTTCCTCCCACACTCCAAAGACATGCTGGTAGGTTAATTGGTTCCTGTCTAAATTGGCCCTAGTATGTGTATGTATGAATGTGAGTTAGGGACCTTAGATTGTACGCCCCTTGAGGGTTAGGGACCTTAGAGGGACCTTAGTTGTACGCCCCTTGAGGGTTAGGGACCTTAGATTGTACGCCCCTTGAGGGTTAGGGACCTTAGATTGTACGCCCCTTGAGGGTTAGGGACCTTAGATTGTACGCCCCTTGAGGGTTAGGGACCTTAGATTGTACGCCCTCCTTGATTGGCCCCTTGTTAGGGACCTTAGATTGTACGCCCCTTGAGGGTTAGGGACCTTAGTTGTACGCCCCTTGAGGGTTAGGGACCTTAGATTGTACGCCCCTTGAGGGTTAGGGACCTTAGATTGTACGCCCCTTGAGGGTTAGGGACCTTAGATTGTACGCCCCTTGAGGGTTAGGGACCTTAGATTGTACGCCCCTTGAGGGTTAGGGACTTGATGTGAGGGTTAGGGGACTGATGTGAATTGTACAATATGTATGTAAATAGGCTGCGTAAATTGACGACGCTATATAAGTACCTGAAATATAATACATTCACAACCGCAGCGCTACCCGTGCATGCGCAGTGGGCACCCAGCTGTGAAGCCGCAGGCTGTCACAGCCGAGTGCCCACACTAAGCCGGGAACGCAGGCTGGCCGGTGAAAGGGCTGCGGGGGGGGGGCACTGCAGGATTGAGCCTGGGTTCACACTGATGCGGTGCAGAATTTGCAGCATTTTCTGTGCGAATTCCGCACCGCATCACAATCGCACCCCGTTCATGCGAACCGCAGCAGGTGTATATGTTAACAACACCCCGAAAGCGGTCCGCAAAACGCAGTGCGATGTGCAGAAACAAATAGCATAGGTGTGAATACCCATGCCATCCGTTTCTAATGCGGACCAAAAAAAAGGGTTCTGCATCTTTTTGATGCGGGTGCGGTGCTATTAGAGCCGTACAAAATATTCCTGTGCAAATCACATGCGATATACCGAACCGCATATATGTGAACCCGGGCTGAGGGACAGGCAAGTGTCCATTTTTTAATCGTTAGCGACTACAGTTTTTGTAGCTGCTGATTTCTAATTAATTAATTTATTTATTTATAATTTTTTTTTATTTTCCCTGGAACTCTGTTTTAAAATGTTAGCAGCAACATGTGGCCACTCCTCCTGCACAGGGCAAGGCTGCCTATGAAATACCCATTTCTAAAATATGGCAACGTGCATGAAAAGTGCTCTCTATACTAACATTTATAGGTAAAGCTGATCCAGGGAACATCCGATTGCCTCTCGGGGGATCAGGAAGGAATTTTTCTCCCCTGCAGGAGCAAATTGGATCGTGCTTTGCTGGTTTTTTTTGCCTTCCTCTGGATCAAATGTGCGTATAGGCAGGGGCGTCCCTAGGGTTGGTGTCACCCGGTGTGAAAACACTCAGTGACACCCCCTCAGACGATCCCCATAGAATGGATCGGATCTGCAGATTGAGCATAATGGATCAGACTCCTATGCATTATGCTCCCCAATCCGCAGATCCGATCCATCTTGCGGGGATCGTCGGCTTTCTTTACAACTTACCTTTTCGTTGAGCGGGTCCGGTGTCACCCCGTATAGGTTGCATGCCGACGATCCCCGCAGGATGATTCGGATCTGCAGATTGAGCATAATGGATCAGAGTCCATTATGCTCCCCAATCCCCAGATTTGATCCATCCTGCGGGGATCGTCGGCTTTCTTTACAACTTACCTTTTCGTTGAGCGGGTCCGGTGTCACCCCGTATAGGTTGCATGCTGACAATCCCGGCAGGATGATTCGGATCTGCAGATTGAGCATAATGGATCAGAGTCCATTATGCTCCCCAATCCCCAGATCCGATCCATCCTGCGGGGATCATCGGCATGCAACCTATACTGGGTGACACCGGACCCGCTCAACGAAAAGGTAAGTTGTAAAGAAAGCCGACGATCCTTTTCGTGGAGCGGGTCCGGTGTCACCCCGTATAGGTTGCACGCCGACGATTCTCACAGGATGATTCGGATCTGCAGATTGAGCATAATGGATCAGAGTCCATTATGCTCCCCAATCCCCAGAACCGATCCATCCTGCAGGGATCGTTGGCATGCAACCTATACGGGGTGACACCGGACCCGCTCCACGAAAAGGATTGTCGGCTTTCTTTACAACTTACCTTTTCGTGGAGTGGGTCCGGTGTCACCCCGTATAGGTTGCATGCCGACGATCCCCGCAGGATGGATCGGATCTGGGGATTGGGGAGCATAATGGACTCTGATCCATTATGCTCAATCTGCATATCCGAATCATCCTGCGGGGATCGTTGGCTTGCTTTACAACTTACCTTTTCGTGGCACGGGTCCAGTGTCACCCCGTGCGGTAGGTGTCACCCGGTGCTGCGCACCATTGGGTATAGGATTGCAACTTTTTTTTTAATGGTTGAACTGGATAGACTTTTGTCTTTTTCCAGCCAGACTAGCTATGTAACTATGTATCTATACTTCAACAAAAACAAAATGTCTCTATATATCCAGCACCGGAATGTTTAAAAATACTCAGAACAAAGCTAAATGTGACTTCTATATATTTATAGTACACACAGAAGTTACTGGAAACCTAAAAATAGCATTTTGACTAAGCTATGGAATTTAATGCTGTTATAAATGAGGTCTACGTCCCTCTCCCATACAGAACGTTTTATAAGGCCGAGCCTTTGTTATCACGTTTACCCCGCGTAGTTACGCGGCGCATTCCTGGGGTCTAATAAAATCTGCAAAACAAGATATTTGTATTTTACTTTCATTGCATTTCCACCTATTAAATAGCTGAGCGGTTAGGGTGAAATGTGACCCGTCTTGTAAAAAGGAAAAAAAAAATCATTTATCTTGAACCTGGTTTATATCGGCGGCTGAATGTTTGTTTTTTTTTTTTCCATACATCCTGAGATTAATCCTACAGCCAAATATTTCTGGATTAAAAACTCCTGGGGCCGATGTATGATATCTGAAGCAAAGAAAACTGGGTCAGAAGCAGGGGCGGACTGACAACTCATGGGGCCCCCGGGCAATAGGGGATCATGGGGTCCTTGCCCAAACTCAAAAAAGCCCATGAAAAAGGTACCAGGGGCATCTCATGGGGCCCCCTACTGACTCCGGGCCCTCGGGCAGTGCCCGAGTTTCCAAATGGTCAGTCCGCCCCTGGTCAGAAGCAAAGCAGTGGATACTTCTGTAGCACTGCCCCCTTAGGGGCCGCTGGATTCGACTTATGTCCCCCTTTGTTCTGCACGGCCAGGCAACAAGCATTTTCCACACCTTGCGCACTGGAGTCAGCAAACAGTCCATGAGCTTGATTTCGTGTTTTTTTCTATTAAGGGGTTGATCTTGTATGGGGCCTAGGCAGGGGCGGACTGACAACTCATGGGGCCCCCGGGCAATAGGGGATCATGGGGCCCCTGTGTCCTTGGCCAAACTCAAAAAAGCCTATGAAAAAGGTACCTGGGGCATCTCATGGGGCCCCCTACTGACCTCTGGCCCTCGGGCAGTGCCCAAGTTTCCAAATGGTCAGTCCGCCCCTGGGTCT